ATTTTCAGCCTCCAAATGGGGTTCTAGTTCTCAGTTTTGGAAGCGCCCAGTTCGATGAGTTCTGGAAAAGGTTCAGATAAGGTGGCATGTCATACAAAATCTAGACACATACAAAATCTAGACACATTTTTTTCTAGATGCCCAAAAGTGAGACGCTATTTCTAACTCTGTAAGTTCTCCTCAGAGAAAATCATTCTTCCCACCCTAAGTCAAAATGTGCTGGTTGGAAACTTCTAGAGATATTTGTGTCCTTTTTGAGACCATGAGAGCACTACGACACCATGACTAGGTCCAAGAGGAACCTGAGATTTCCAGTTTGTTGTGGAATCAGAGTTGTTGCTCTGAAACCTGTCAGGTCATGGTGGGTTTTCACACCCAGGTTGAATTGTCCTTGGTTCTTGTTCAAGGAGATGTCCAAAAGAAATGTATCCTATGGGCTATGAGGGCAGAGCTCACTATTCTGGAAACAACAGTCCAAGGGTTGGGTCTCTTTTGGACATTCCTTCAACAAGGGAGATTTGACCTGGGTATTAAATCCCACCATGAACTGTAGCATGACATTCTTGTACGTTCACTGAGCATCTTGAGTTATTCTAGAATGAACCTGCTCTTCTCAATTTCAGACACTGTTGGGGATGTTTTGGAATTTGTTTGAAGCTCCAGGTTTGGGGTGAACTGGACAGCTGGATTGGGTCCTATTTGAACTGGTACTCTGTCTGAATCATACACCAACACACGGGGAAAGAGAATGGATTGTGTCCATTCTGCTATTGTTGCTGAACCCAACTGTCCATAGAGTACTGTGTAAGCACCTAGTCAACATCAGTGCCCCAACATGACATTGACAAAGGCACCAATGAAACAAAGAAGGTATGGAGAGGGGCAGGGATGGAGAGGGATGGGCCCTCTCTTCTTCCCAGTTATAGAAATGCTTCTTCCAATGTTAGAATGGGGCACCAGCAATGACCCGAAATTCAGGTGGCTAGCTGAGAGTAGCCAGGCCGAAACAGAAGGTGAAGTAATGTTCCGACACAGTCTCGGTCTTTCTGGACCATGTCATCCAAGCACTTCAACAGGTTTGTTATTGTGCTGAGACACACTGCTGTGTCTTTTCCAAAGAGGCAACCCAAAAACCCTAAGGTCTCTGTCCAATTAGACCCTAAGAGGCGAGGATATCCAGTATGACAGATTTATTTGATCAGATCTCTCTGTTGGGTCGACAAGTGCCATACATTGAGGATGAAGCTCATGGGCCTGTCTCAATTAGTATTGGGTCCCACCCACAGTGCTGGACGTACGCTGGATCTGTTTTTCTGTCAGAGATGGGAAGAAGGTGGCGCGGTGGAGGAACTGACCATCGATCAGTTGCTATGGACCGACCACCACCTGATCAGGTTTAGACTTATTGCGCCTTCCTACCTCCGCAGGAGTGGTGGACCCATTATATGGGTCTCCGCCCCAGGAGACTTATGGATCCAAATGGATTTCTGATGGCTCTTAGGGATTTCCCTGCCTCCTCGGTAAGTGACCCTGTCGATGCTCTGATCTCTCTCTGGGACAGGGAGATGACCAGGGCTATAGATACTAGGGCTGGGTAACAACGGAAAAAATTGTTTCTAAACTCGTTTCGTTTTTAGGGGGTCCATTGCGTTTCTTTTTTAAAAACAATTCCGAATATTTCGAAACAATTTCGAAACAATTACGAATCGATTCGTTAATGGCGGACGCGATTGCGCAATACGCTAAAAAACCCTCCAAATGGGACAGGGGGAACTTCTGAAGCTTCCCTCTCCCTCTGTTGTTGACTGTTGGTGTGATAATTTATTTTTTTATCACTGATAAAACAAACAACAACTATAAAACTTGCACCAGACATACGGAAATAATAACGAAACGATTTCGAAACGATTTTGAACCAATTATGAAACAATTGTGAAATAAATTGAAAAATTCGTTTCGATTTTTAGTTGCTCCTGCATGGCTCAATATCGGATCGTAAGCTAATTTAAATATGAATCAACAACGAATTACGAAATTAACGAACGAAACCGCCCAGCCCTAATAGATACGATCACTCCAGAACGTCCCCTCTCGAGTAACCGAGCTAAACCAGCTCATTGGTTCACTGAGGAGCTGGCAGCAATAAAGTGAAATAAGAGGTGGCTAGAGCGCGTGTTGCGACAGAAGCACAGCAGGTCAGTCGAAGCACTTTGGGTGGAAGCATACCATGGAATCCTGTTGGAGGATAGGGAAAATGCTTAAGGAGAAAACCTTTCTAGAAGGTCTAGAATGATGTTTCTGACATCAACATCTGGTGGAAGCATCTAGTCGAATCGAGTTGGAGGAACATCTACAACTCTACTACAGCAAAGGACACTATTTTCTCAGTAATCTAATCAATGTATCCCATTACACAAAATTGATAACTTGTTGGCCACTTTGTACAGAATGCCTAGAAAAACCATATTTTTGTTTTTGTTTTCTCCAATTCTTGTTTACTAGATCAAAATCTTATCTTTTTTGTTTTAAGTATTCAGTAACTGTTTTCTGATCTCTTTCTTTCATTTTCATTCCTTGACTCTTTGACATGAGGAAAGTGAGTCTGTCTATGTTTCTGATCTGTATTTTCGTCAGCCATTCATCTTCATCTGGCATTTCCTCTCGTTTCCATCTTTTCACAAAACAAATTCTCGCAGCCATGGTTATTAATGTGTCTATATTCCTTTCTAATTCCTTTTTGTAATACAAATAATTCTGGTTTCCAGGGAATTTGTATTTCTAACATTTTTTGGATCTTCTTCTGTACTCCTTTCCAATTAGGCCTGGGTAACCACGGAAAAATTTGGTTCTAAACTCGTTTTGTTTTTAGGGGGCCCTTGCGTTTCTTTTTTTTATAATTCCCAAATTTTCCTTTAAAAAATTTCAAAATATACGAAATTTCATATAATTACGAATCAATTCGTTAATGGCGACGCGATTGCGCAATATGCTAAAAAAACCTCCAAATGGGACAGGGGGAACTTCTGAAGCTTCCCTCTCCCTCTGTTGTTGACTGTTGGTGTGATAAAACAAACAACAACTATAAAATTTGCACCAGACATGCGAAAATAATTACAAAATAATTACAAAATAATTACAAAATAATTATGAAATAATTACAAAGTAGTTACGAAATAAATTGAAAAAATTGTTTCAAATCTAATTTACTCCTCACACTATTCCTGCATGGTTCAATATTGGATCATAAGCTAATTTAAATACGAATTAATAACGAATTACGAAATTAACGAACGAAACCGCCCAGGCCTATTTCCAATCTCTCTTTGCTCTATCACATGTCCACCACATGCTTTACATTTCCAACAGTTTGTGCTCATGTTGTTGTAGGTTTTTCCCCGTTTTTTGGGGGGTCATGTACCATCTGTGTGATATTTTCACCAAGTTCTCTTTCAGATCTGTTGCATATGTGTATTTTATCTTTTTCTTCCAAAGTAAAAAATGGTTAAAAGGGAGGGAAAGATATAGACAAGAAGGAGAAGGAGAGGAGGAAGAGAGATAGAAGAAAGGAAAAAGTAAAAAAAGACCTCTAGAGGATACCAGGAAGTCAAAATATCTATCTTTCTGACACTTTTATTTTCTACACACAGTTTTTTTTCTTTTTCTCTTTCTTACTTTATGGATATAAATTTTATATCATTATTATTATTTCTTTTTTTCCCTTCTTTTCTTTTATATTTAATTTGCACATTATTATCTTTGATTCGTACTGTTTTTAACTGACAATCTCAAATAAAGATTATTTAGGAGAGAAATCATATTGTTGTGATGTGGACAAGTGAAACCAGAGGCTCTGGTGCTGTGGGGATTCACCCTAGATCTCTTTTGAGTGGGTGAGTCCTTGGCTTTCCAAGACAGTGCCTGCCTTTCAATTGAAAGGGCTGATATTAATAAATAAATAAATGCATGGGTGTTGTGACTCAGCTGGAACCACAGAGTGTCTCTGATGAGGATGATGGGACTCAGGTTATAAGCAGTGAAGAACACGGTGAGCAAATGCAGTTTCCCACAGCAAGGAATGAGATTGCTGATACTGAAAATAGCCAAGTGCGGGTACAGATTGACTCAGAGAAAGAGGACAGTTCTCAGTCTGATAATGAGCAGGAAGGGAAACTGGCTGACACTAACGAACAGACTGACCTTGACGAAACAGGAACCTTAGATCAGGCTGACCATTTGAAATTCAGAGTTTGAAGGAGTGTGAGAATAACTAACAAGAAAGAGGTCAAGGGCCAAAGAAACGCCTTCATGTTTTGCAAAAGGTATTAAGACTAAAATCACCTGAGACAATTTTCCCTCATACATTCCCATTAGCCATGAATAATCCAATATGTTCACGATATGAATTATTCAACGGCATGAATGACATTCTGGAATGGAATATTCTGCACCTCCCATTCCATTTTGAAACAAGGCATCCATTTGGGATGAGAGACACCCACCTTCCAGGTTTGTTGGTTTCTCCAATGGGAAGATTGTTGACCGAGAAAGGAAGCACTACTATGGAAACGTTGAGTCAGGTTTGTTGGAATGGGAATGAATTGAACAGTGTGGGACGTCTCTTACAGTAGAACCTCAATGCTGAAACGTTCTTTCTGACACAACTAGACAGAGTATGAAGTCACTTACGCAACAGTCACAAGGACAGAATCTGTTTAATCAGCAATGTAGTGGCATTGTGAGTCGGTTATCCCTGAAAAACACATCATGTTTCAAGAGAGATTATTACTGATGGGTTTCATAACTATGTACATAGAAAGATCCTATATACTCCACCTGAACTCTGTTTCGAGGAGCACTTACCAATATTTCCCAAACCTCCACCACCTCCAGGAATGACAACCACTCCTCTTCTCTTCCTAGAAGGAGTTGTTTTGGGCCAATTTGTTGTTCATTCGTTCAGTTGTCTCCGACTCTTCGTGACCTCATGGACCAGCCCACGCCAGAGCTCCCTGTTGGCCGTCACCACCCCCAGCTCCTTCAAGGTCAGTCCAGTCACTTCAAGGATGCCATCCATCCATCTTGCCCTTGGTCGGCCCCTCCTCTTTTTGCCTTCTACTTTCCCCAGCATAATTGTCTTCTCTAGGCTTTGCTGTCTCCTCATGATGTGGCCAAAGTACTTCAACTTTTTCTCTAGTATCCTTCCCTCCAGTGAGCATCCGGGCTTTATTTCCTGGAGGATGGACTGGTTGGATCTTCTCGCAGTCCAAGGCACTCTCAGAACTTTCCTCCAACACCACAGCTCAAAAGCATCATCTTCCTTCACTCAGCCTTCCCTAAGGTCCAGCTCTCACATCCGTAGGTTACTACAGGGAATACCATGGCTTTGACTATGTGGATCTTTGTTGCCAGTGTGATGTCTCTACTCTTTACTATTTTATCGAGACTGGACATTGCTCTCCTCCCAAGAAGAAGCGTCTTCTGATTTCCTGGCCACAGTCTGCATCTGCAGTAATCTTTGCACCTAGAAATACAAAGTCTGTCACTGCTCCATTTTCTCCCTCTATTTTCCAGTTGTCAATCATTCTTGTTGCCATAATCTTGGTTTTTTTTATGTTTAGCTGCAACCCAGCTTTTGCGCTTTCTTCTTTCACCTTGATTAGAAGGCTCCTCAGCTCCTCCTCGCTTTTGGCCATCAGAGTGGTGTCATCTGCATATCTGAGGTTGTTAATGTTTCTTCCAGCAATTTTCACCCCAGCTTTGCATTCATTTGGGCCAATACACTCATTGAAAACCAAGTCCTTGATCGTCAGTGTTGAGCTCTTCGAGGATGATATTGGTTTAAGGACCTTGGCAAAGAACTTGTACCAATTGTAGATGCCAGGCTTTTTGCTGATTGTTGCCTATTTACAGAAAAGGAGACAAAAAGGAGACATTAACGTTGCGGACAGACATGGGCGTAGCACTGTCAATGATAGCCTTAGGATGAGTCTACAGCATCCCATGAACGTTTGAAGGGATTGGGGCAAAGAGAAATGGGGGAAAGGCGAAATTACAGAAGCTAGGAAAAGGGTAAGACAGAAAAGGGGATTGGAGAAGGAGAAGGGAATTTTCTTGTCAAAGAAACAAAGGAAGGAGTTAGATGAAAGAGAAGAAAGTTTAAAGGACATAACTTAATGACCTGCAAGTCAGGAAAGGGGGGGGGAGGTTGTAAATTTCTCTTGCCAATTGTTAATAAGCAGGCACCAGATGAAACACATTTGAAAGAGAAGTGTGAATGAAATAGTTTGTGTGTCTGTCCATGCTTAACACCTTAAACCCCCTGAGCTGCATCCTCAATGTGTGGCACTTGTCGACTCAATAGAGAGATCTGATCAAATAAATCTGTCATACCAGATCTAATTGGACAGAGACCTTAGGGTTTTTGGGTTGCCTCTTTGGAAAGGACACTGCAGTGTGTCTCAGCACAATAACAAACCTGTTGCAGTGCTTGAATGACATCCTTATGGTCCAGAAAGACCGAGACATCAACATCTGGTGGAAGCATCTAGTCGAATCGAGTTGGAGGAACATCTACAACTCTACTACGGCAAAGGACACTATTTTCTCAGTAATCTAATAAATGTATCCCATTACACAAAACTGATAACTCGTTGGCCACTTTGTACAGAATGCCTAGAAAAACCATAGTTTTGTCTTCGTTTTCTCCAATTAAAATGTTTGTATAGGTTTGAACCGACAGCCTAATTTCTAATTTTGCTCTTGTGTTCAATGATATGGAGTTTAATTTGTCTGCTAGTTTGTCCAACATACATCAAGGAGCAGTGACAAAAGATGATGTAAATGACACCAGTGGTTGTGCATGTAGCAAGATGACATGACATGAAACATAGTCCAGGATCACTTAGGGTCTTAGTTTTAGAGACGGTTACATCCTCCATAAATATAGATTTATCTACTAGATTACTACAACGCGAAGCCTTTTGGATTTTCACTCTTGAAACTGTATATCCTAGGGGTCTGAATGATTCTATTTCATTTCAGTGTTTCATGTGAGCAGGCACAGACCTTTTAAAACAAGTTGATAAGGACAGATTGGCAACATCAAAACATTCTCCTGACAAGGTACAACTGAGGTGCCAGGATGGTGGTCCCTCCAGGTTAAAAGTGGTGCTATTCAATGCAAGGTCGGTAAATGGGAAAACTTCTATTATTCAAGATCTAATCCTAGAAGAACAAGCTGACCTTGCTTGTATCACAGAGACCGGGCTGGATGAGGGGGGAGGGGTAAACCTCACTCAACTCTGCCCACCAGGCTACTCTGTGGAGCACCAACCTTGACCTGGAGGGCAGGGAGGTGGAGCCACGGTGGTTTATAAGGATTTTATCTCCCTGATCAGGTGCCCCATCCCACAGTCATCTTCCATTGAGTGTATCGGCATTAGGATTGGTGACCAGGGCAGGATAGGGATTCTGTTAGTGTACCAACCACCCCGCTGCACAACAGTCTCCCTACCTGAGCTAGCAGGGGTGGTCTCGGACTTGGCTTTGGACTCCCAATGGCTTTTAGTCCTGGGAGATTTCAATGTTCATGCCGAGGCCCCCCCTTCAGGTGCGGCTCAGGACTTCATGGTCGCCATGGCAACCATGGGCCTGTCCCAATTAGTATCTGGTCCCACCCATAGTGCCAGGCACACATTGGACTTGGTTTTTTGTCAGGGTGGGATGAAGGTGATGGTGTGGAGGAGCTGACCATCGCTCCATTACCATGGACCAATCAGGTTTAGACTCACTGTGCCTCTTACCCTCCGCAGGGGTGGTGGACCCATTAGAATGGTCCGCCCCAGGAAACTTATGGATCCTAATGGTTTCTTGATGGTTCTTGGGGAGTTCCCCACCTCCTTGGCTAGTGACTCTGTCAATGCTCTGGTCTCTCGCTGGGACAGTGAGATGACTAGGGGAATTGATACAATCGCTCCAGAGTGCCCCCTCTCGAGTAACCGAGCTAAACCTGCCCCTTGGTTTACTGAGGAGCTGGCAGAGATGAAGCAAAAAAAGAGGAGGCTAGAGTGCACCTGTACCTTGGGAAGTTGGATCTGGCCACGGTGGTCCARGCTCTTGTTACATCCCGAATAGATTACTGCAACGRGCTCTACGTGGGGTTGCCTTTGAAGACTGTTCAAAAACTTCAATTAGTCCAARGGGCAGCGGCTAGATTTCTCACCGGAGRGTCATACAGGGAGCATACCACCCCCCTGCTATGTCAGCTCCACTGGCTGCCAATCCAGTTCCGAGCACAATTCAAAGTGCTGGTTTTGACCTACAAAACCCTTTACGGCTCCAGCCCAGCGTACCTGTCCGAACGTATRTCCTTCTACATCCCACCTCGGAGCTTAAGATCTTCTGGGGAGGCCCRGCTCTCGGCCCCACCTGCATCACAAATGAGGCTGGTGGGGATGAGGGACAGGGCCTTCTCAGTGGTGGCCCCTRGCCTGTGGAATGCACTCCCCGGGGAAATTAGGTCATCAACATCCCTCCTCTCTTTCAGACGGAAGATAAAAACCTGGATGTGGGACCAGGCTTTCGGGTAAGCTGGCAGATGGACAATAAGACAATGACGACCAGAGTAAGAAAGGACAATGACAATGCAAGATGGGTCACAGATTTATGAATTGGCGAACTTTGACCACAAGATGATTTTACTGCTGCTATTGGAGTGTTTTTGACTGTTTTTAATTAATCATGATTGTTGCCATTTTACTGTAATTTGTATATTGTGTTTTGTGAATTGTTGGGCATTGAATTGTGTCTTTTGTAAGCCGCCCTGAGTCCCCCCTAGGGGGTTGAGAAGGGCGGGGTAGAAGCACTCCAAATAATAAATAAATAAATAAATAAATAAGTTTCTCTTTTGAGTAACTTCCTATTGCAAACTGGAACACACCCACGCTTACAGCTATATGGGGCCCCTTTAAAATTCTCTTCATACACTATTAGTTTCTCTTTATATACTCTAATCTCCACCTGCTTTCCTTGTGCTTGCCACAGAAATATACTAAATAAGCAGAGCACCTTGTGAGTATTTTGATTCTAGTTTTGAATGTTTTTTTACTTTTGATAATTGCTTTCCTTACTATGTTTAGCCACTGAATGAGTTCCCTTTAGGTCCTCATCATTGTTTATCTTACTTGAAGAATTGTCCACTTAAAAAATGTATTATCTTGGATTTCTACTACCACCTGAAGAAGACTGCATATAGTCCAAACCGGTTGTGGTTGACGAACTGTGAAATTTTGAAAAAAGGACTGATAAACTGTGTGTTGCCGTGGACAAACTTTACCTACATTAAGAAGCTCTGAATTAAGGGACTTGTAAAAAGGTTCACAAACTGTGTATTGTTATTGACAAATTTATTTTCAAAATAACCTTAAAACAGCTGTATATCTTGCTGTAAGAATTTGTTGTTTATACCACATAAGAAAATAATTTTTGGTTTAGAGAACTGTATGCTGTATAACTTGAATGTTAAGCAAAGACATAATATACAGAATTGTTTTACTCTTGGTCTTAGGGACATTTTGCCTTTTGCATTTCAGGGAACCCTTGCTCTCTATTTCAAGCTTTTGTATGACATGCCACCTTATTTTAACCTTTTCCAGATCTCATCGAACTGGGCACTTCCAAAACTGAGAACTAGAACCACGTTTGGAGGCTGAAAATCGGAGTCAAAGATTTGAAACCAGGTGTCCCCATGAGCTGAATCAAAGCAACACACACCCCTCAGACGGTTCTAGCTTTGATGTGACACTGAAAGCGAGTATCCATATGATGATGCTGCCGGAACATGCACACAAAAACACAGAGAAGCAAGAGGACTTATCAGAAGCGCTCCAAATAAGGTGATGATATGATAAAGTCGTACTCTTCCAGGGTATTTGATTTCTGAGGGGATGTGTATCTTGCTCTGATCGTAATAAATCCCCCACGTGATCCCGAAGACTAGAATGAAAAGGCTGGCATATAACGCAAGCAGCCCCAGAGTTACAAGAAATACCATCCTCTTGGCTTAACAAGCGTGAAACAACTCTCCTTTCTCCTATGTGACTTCTGAGCTTCTGAGGTTTTGTATCCCATTGGTCCCCCATTTAATAGGGAGTAAGTGATGAAACACCATCTCAGACAGCTATTATTAATTTATAATTAGCTGATTATGCCAGATGTATGCCACCCTTGTAGTTTATACCATGATTCCATTTATTTATTTATTTATTTATTTATTTAAACATAAGCATATTTGCCCGGTGTTGCCCGGATGTTGGAGAGGCTGTCACGGAAGAAGTAGACACTGTTTCCATAACCCATCGTGCACAGATCTTTCTATAGCGAAGCAAACATGTGACCCACATGTTCTTGTGAAATGCCGATAATAGGGCTGGGCGGTTTCGTTTCGTTAATTCGTAATTCGTTAAAAATTCGTTATTTTTTTTGTTAACGAAGCGATAACGAACCATTCTGGAGCAACTTAAAAATGAAACGAATTTTTCAATTCGCTTCGTAAATGCTTCGTATTTCGTTATGTATTCGTTTCGTTATTGGATTGAGGTCGTTTCGTTATTATTTCCGCATGTCTGGGGCAAGTTTTATAGTTGTTTTTTGTTTAATTAGTGAAAAAAATTATAATATCACACCAACAGTCAACAACAGAGGGAGAGGGAAGCTTCAGAAGTTTTTTTAGCGTATTGCGCGATCGCGGCCGCCATTAACGAATCGATTCGTTATTGTTTCGTTATTGTTTTGTAATTTTTTTACCATTTACGAAATTTCGTAAATATCGAACTTTTTTTAAGGAAAATTTCGGAATTCTTTTAAATATCGAAACGCAAAAAACCCCAAAAAACGAATCGATTTTAGAAACAAATTTTTCCGTTGTTACCCAGGCCTAGCCGATAATACTTGAAATTTCTCTCTGAGTGATATTTCTCTCTGAAATTTCTCTCTGAGCAATCGTCCTGAATCAGTCTGTCAACCTTTTGCTTGTGAAACTAGGTGGTTGCTGTCACAGGACATCCAACTCTTTGTTTGTCACGCAAGTCGGATGTTCCCACCTCAACATCTTTCAACGTTTTCACCCAACAATGCACAAAACTCACATCAACACAATCCCCATAAACAGCTGGCATTCTCTGCCTTTGGGGTGACACCTTCTTCTGTCAAAAATTGAATGACTGCACGTTGCTTAACTCGAATTGACCGACCATCTGCGCAGGGTTCCATACTTCACACTTTAACAACACAACTGTTCAATGCCAAGGCTTCCCGCCAAAATGGAACGGTAGAGGAGAGTCTACTGAACAAGCCAGTACCTGCCCCATACCAGGACTGGAGTTCCGAAGGTAGAGGCATTACTTTTCATTCAACCCTGGTATATTAAGCTAAAGCACAGTTCACATGATGTATCCAATGAGAAAGGATTAGAAAAGAGGAGGGGAAGCTTGGGGGAAGAGAAGGGAACCGCTGAACCCCCCAATAAGCTTCACGGAGCCCCAAGGGCTCTGCGGAGCACAGTTTGAGAACTGCTGTGCTACATTAAACTAAAATGTACTTCACATAATGTATCCGTTGAAAAGGGAACAGGAAAGAGGAGGGAAAGCTTGGAGGAAGAGGAAGGAAACCGCTGAGCCCCTCAATAAGCCTCATGGAGTCCCAAGGGTTCTGTGGAGCACAGTTTGCGAACCGATGTGCTCGATTAAGCTAAAATGTAGTTCACATATTGTCTCATTTGAAAAGGGGTGTCGTGGTATAAACTGCGTGGATGGCATGCATCTGACATAATTAGCCACTCCCTAACCAATTAATGAGTGTCTGGGCAGGACATGGCATTTTATAATTAATTTATTCCCTATTAAATGGCGAGACCGATGCAGAAACTCAGAAGTCATCCAAGAGAAAGGACAGCCCTTTCATGCTTGTTTGTCAAGAGGATGGCATTTCTTGCCACTCTGGGGATGCTCGCGTTGTATGCCAGCCTTCTTGCTCTCTTCTTGAAGGTTGCATGGGCCATTTATCATGATCAGAGAAGGCTGCACATTCCCCCGGGAATCAAATACCCCATAACACTACGAATTTTGCAAACCGGAGCCAAAGTTGGATTGCTTGTGGTAAGTCCTCTGGATTTTAATGCACTTCTCTGTGTCTTTGTGTACATGTTTTGGTGGCACCATCATACGGATGCTTTCTTTCTCTGTGTCGCACCAAGACAAGGGCCTTTTGAAGGGGATGGGTTGCTTTGACTCAGCTCATGGGGACAGATGGTCTCAAATCTTCAGCTCTGATTTCCAGCCTGTAAATGTGGTTCTAGTTCTCAGTTTTGGAAGCGCCCAGTTTGATGACCTCCAGAAAAGGTTATAATAAGGTGGCTTGTCATACAAACTCCAGACCCATTTGTACCTGAAAATGGGACGATATTTCCTTAAGTTCTCTTCAGAGAGAACCTTTCTTTCCAAAGTCAAAACATGCTTGTTGGAAACTTCTAGAGATATTTGTATCCTCTTTGAGACCATGAGAGCACTGTGACACCATGTCTAGGTTCAACAGGATCCTGGGATTTGCAGTTTGTTGTGGAATCAGAGTTCTTGCTCTAAAAAGGGACCTTCTCCAAGATACAGTTCATGGTGGGTTTTCATATCCAGATCAAATTGCCCTTCGTTCTTGTTCAAGGAGGTGTCTAAAAGAAATGTGTCCTATGGGCTGTGAGGCCAGAGCTCACAAGTGTGGAAATAGCAGCCCAAGTGACAGGTCTCTTTTGGACATTCCTTCAACAAGAATTGAAAGCAATTTGAGCTGGGTATGAAATCCCACCATGAATTGTATCATGACATTCTTGTACTTTTGCTGAGCATCTTGAGTTATTCTGGGTGGAACCCACTCTTTGCAACTTCAGACAAGGTTGGGGAATATCCTGGAATTTGCTTGAAGCTCCAGGTTTGAGGTCAACTGGACAGCTGGATTGGGTCCTATTTGAACTGGTTCTCTGTCTGGACCATACACCAGCACAGGGGGAAAGAGAATGGATTGTGTCCATGCTGCCACTGTTGCTGATCCCAGCGGTCCATAGAGCACTATGTAAACACCTGGTCATCTATAGTGCCCCGATATGACGTTGGGAGAGGCAGCAACGAAGCAAAGAAGGTAGGGTGGGAGATGGGCCCTCTCTTCTTCCCAGTTGTAGATGCTTCTTCTGATGTTAGAATGGGGCACCAGCAATGACCAGGAATTCAGGTGGCTAGCTGAGAGTAGCCATGCCAAGACAGAAGGTGAAGTGATGTTCTGACACAGTCTCGGTCTTTCTGGACCATATGGATGCCATCCAAGCACTGCAACAGGTGTGTTAATGTGCTGAGACACACTGCTGTGTCCCTTCCAAAAAGGCAACCCAAAAACCCTAGGGTCTCTGTCCAATTAGACCCTAAGAGGTGAGAAGTTCTGGTATGACAGATTTATTTGATCAGATCTCTCTGTTGGGTCAAGTGCCACACACTGAGGACGCAGCTCAGGGGGTTTTATAGTCTTAGGTTTTAAGCCTGGACAGACACACAAACTATTTCATTCACACTTCTCTTTCCCATTGTTCTCATCTGGTGCCTCCTTATCAACAATTGACAACAGCAATTCACAACCATTTCCCCCGTTGCTGGCTTGCAGGTCTTTTGAACTTTCTCTTCTTTCAGCTAACTCTTTCCCTTGTGGCTTTGACTAGAAATTTTTCCATCTCCCTCTTTTTGTCTAAACCTGTTCCTGGCTTGGTAATTTTCCATTGTTTACATTTCTCTTTGCCTCAGTCCCATCAAACATTCATGGCATGATCTCTTCTAGATTCGGCCTAAGGCTGTCACTTTCTGTACGTAAGCCCTGTGTCCACATGACATTTATTTCTTTATTCTATTTTTCTGTAAACAGGATACATTCCTTAAAGAAACTGGCTTGTTCAATCCATTCAAATTAATTGAGTGGTTGTACAAAAGATTTATGCCCAAGTGGAGCCCAACACTGACGATCAAGGACTTGGTGTTTGATGACGTTCCGGTCAGAGTGTATTGGCCCAAAACAACTCCTTCTGGGAAGAGAAGAGGAGTGGTTGTCATTGCAGAAGGTGGTGGAGTTTTGGGAAATATTGGTAAGTTCTCCAGGAAACAGAGTTCAGTTGGAGTATATAGGATTTTTCTATGTACATAGTCATGAAACCCATCAGTAATAATCTCTCTTGAAACATGATGTGTTTTTCAGGGGTAACTGATCTACCATGCCGCTGCATTGCCCAGGAAACTGATTCTGTCGTTATGACTGTTGCGTAAGTGACTTCATACTCATTCTGGCTCTATCAGAATGGACATTCTCCCACACTATTCGATCTATTCCCTTTCCAAGTAACTTGACTCAAAGAATTATTTATTTGTTTATGGTATTTATATTTTGCCCTTCTCACTCCACTGGGGACTCAGGGCAGATTACAATGTACATATACATGGCAAATATTAAATAGGCACACAACATATATATAGACAGACACACAGAGGCTATTTAACATTCCAGCTACATGAAGTTATTCTGGTCACCAGAATGTTATCATGTGGATTGCGGATTCAGACCATTTCTCATTTCTGCTTCAGGTTTCGTTTGGCTCCAGAACATCCGTTCCCAATCCCAATTATGGATTGCTGCACAGCTACTATGCACTTTTTGAAAAATGCAGAGGAATACGGAGTGGACCCACATCGCATTGTTCTCTATGGACAAAGTAGTGGAGGGTCATTTGCTGTAGCCGTTTCTGAATATTTGGCAGGCAAGAAAGATCTCCCAAAGCTAGGAGGCCAGGTCCTCATCTATCCGGCTTTGCAGGCTGTCGATTTCAATTTGCCTTCTTATCAGCAAAACCATTCGGTCCCTTTCCTGTTCAAGAAACAGGCCGTGAAGATTGCTACCTTGCTTCTGACTCCGAAGGAGGTCAACTTGGAGGACATCATGAGGAATGCTCACCTACCCGAACATGTGTGGATGAAATACAGGAAATGGGTCAATCCCGATGACATTCCAGAAAGATTTAAGGGCAGGGGTTACGTGCCCATGGAGCGGCCTCCGTTTCGCCAAGAACTTTACGAAATCGTGAAAGAAGCAACCAACCCCATGTATTCCCCACTTTTAGTAGAGGATGACGTGATCCGCCAGCTCCCTAAGACTTTCCTTTTAACCTGTGAATACGATATTTTCCGAGATGATGGGCTCTTGTTCAAGAAACGGCTAGAGGACAATGGTGTCCCACTGACGTGGTATCACATCAAGGACGGATTCCATGGAATGTTGTTTGGCTATGGTCACTGGATAGTGGAATACCCAGGAACGAAACTCCATTGCCAGCATATAAATAATTTCATTAACAGAATATAAAAAACATTTTTATTTTATTGTTGAATCACTGGGTTGTCTTAGGTTTTTCGAGCTGTATGGCCATGTTCTAGAAGCATTCTCTCCTGACGTTTCACCTGCATCTATGGCGGGCATCCTCGGTGGTTGTTAGGTCAGTTGGAAACTAGCAAAATTTCTGCATTCAATCTGCTAGGTGAGCAGGTGAGCTGGGGCAAACAGCGGGTACTCACACTGACCTAGGCTTGAACTGCTGACCTTTTGGTCAGCAGGATTTTTCTGCAGCACAGCAGCTTAGTCTTTTGTGCTAAGCTCGGCCCCTATGGCTCAAAATGGTAAAGGTGTCATCCAGAAAACTGAACCACACAGTGGGCTTTTTGTTGCTGTTCCCAGGGCTTGTTTTTCAAAGTCTTCCATGGCAAAAAGTGTTCCATGTAGAGGTCGGACTTTAGCACAGCAGGGTAATCACCAAGCTGCAATGAATCTTGCCAACCGGAAGGTTGATAGTTCGAAGCTTGGATCAGGGTGAGTGCCTGAGCTTTAGTTCAGCTTTTGCCAACCTAGCAATTCGAAAACAAATGTGAGTACATAAATAGGAAACACATTAAAGCAGGGAAGTACAGTACAGTCTCGCTTATCCAGCTTTCCCTTATCCGACATTCTGTCTTATCCAAAACTCTTATCCAACACCCCCCTTTTCCTCCATTTCCCCTTCAGTCAAAGGAACACTCCCCAACAGGGGCGGCCCAACCATTACGCAGAGTAAGCATTTGCGGTATACTTTGTTTTGCCCAGGGTCAGAGGCGGCGCTTCCTCCTCCTGAGGTGAAGGCGAGGTGCTGTCGCCCCACGGAGGCGGAGGAGGCAGCAGCGGGAAAGAAGGGGGCCAGTTAGGCTCTCGGAGGCTGCTGCCAAAGAGGGCCTCAGAGGCAGCAGTGACTTCCCCCTCTCCCCTCCCCTGCTCCGTGCTCCTTCCTCGCCAGGCTGGGTGCCCAGCCTGGCGAGGAAGGAACACAGAGCAGTGGAGGGGCAAGGGCAAAGCCGCCGCCACTAAGACCCTCTGGCAATGTCCTTCTCCTGACCCCCTCTGCTGCTCCATGCTTCAAAGAGTCCCCTCCTTGCCAGGCCGGGCTCCCAAGCCTGGCACCCAGCCTGGCGATAAGGAGCACAGAGCAGAGGAGGGGCGAGGGGGAAGCTGCCACCGTTGAGGCCCTTTTCAACAATGGCGTCCTCCTTGCCCCCTCTGCTGCTCCATGTCTGAAAGGGTCCCTTCCTTGCCAGTCTGGGCTGCCAAGCCTGGTGCCCAGCCTGGCGAGGAAGGAGCACGGAGCAGCGCAGGGGTGAGGGGGAAGCTGCCTCCGCTGAGGCCTTTTTGGCAGCGGCCTCCTCCTCGCCCCCTCTGCTGCTCTGTGCCTCAAAGGATCCCTTTCTCGCCAGGCTGGGCTCCCAAGCTTGGTGCCCAGCCTGGCAAGGAAGGAGACAAGAGCAATGGAGGGGTGATGAGGAAGCCGCCGATGCCCTCTGGCAGCGCTCCCTTCCTTGTCCCTCTGTTGCTCTGTGCCTCAGAGGTCCCTTCCTTGACAGGCTGGGCACCCAAGCCTGGCGCCCAGCCTGGGGAGGAAGGAGCACAGAGGAGCACCGAAGGGCAAGGGGGAAACCGCTGCTGCCAAGGCCCTCTTTGGCACTGGCCTCCTTCTGGCCCCCTCTGTGCTCCGTGCCTCAAAGGGTCCCTCATCAGGCTGGGCTTCCAAGCCTGGCACCCAGCCTTGTGAAGGAGGAGTGCTGAGTAGCGAAGGGGGAAGCTGCCGCTGCCGAGGCCCTCTTTGTGCCTTGGCTTGGGCAAGTTCGTTCGAAAGCTTCTAAAATCGTAATTAATTTGGATTAAATTCACTTTTGAATCAATTTTGAGCTATGCAGGAATAGTGGAAGGAGCAATTCCGAATTGAAACCACTTACCCATTGTTCAGAATTATTTTCGGATGTCTCCCACAGTTATTTTGATTTTAAGACCATTAACCTATTTTGGCAAAGCCAAAATGTTTTCTGTGCCTCAGCCTCCAGTTGCGGCCTCTCGGAAGCGTTTCTCACCGGAAAGGAATGCAGCTGAAGAAGAGGCCAGCCAGGTGCCTTCTCACACTGATAACGAAACCGTTAGAAGGAGGTCACGGATCGCTTCCAGGAGAAGCTAGGTCAGCGAAGGGTCATGGGACCAGTGTGAGACTAGACTGTTTGATGTTTTGATGTTTAGAAAGCCTATTTAGGGGTTTAACAGATGCTGTAAACCTGTCATTTCAACGCAGCTTCTTAGCCAACAGCTTCATGGGTTTTGTTCCTGTATCGGGGTTCTAGGGCTTGAAGCCAGAGTTTCTCCGTGGGGTTTTGGACTGTGTTTTGACTTTTGCTCAAAGGCTTGTGTTTCTTGTTTCATGACTTTTGCTTAAAGGATTGTGCTTTGTTTTTACCTGAAGATTTCTTGGAACTGTATTTTGCATTTAACCTGACCTTTGGGACTTTGTATCTACTTAATTACTTCCATTCTTTGGATCTTTTACTCAATAAACTATAAATTCTACAGCTTTGGTCTGGTGGTGCTTGGGAGCAAGGTGAATCCTATTCTGAGTTGCAACAATCTCATCCCTCTGCATTGCAGCTCGCCGCCAGGGAAGGAAGAGAAACCGCGAGATTTTAAAACCAATTGTTAGGCTTTGCCAAAATTGCTTAATGGTTCTGGAGGGAGGGAGGGGCACCTTCCATTAACGAAGCAAATGAAGCAATTCGGATTTCCTAATATTTCCGATCATTTTTTCATTAAAAATTTGTAAATCATTTCAAAATCGAATCGCCATCATCCCCTACATCCGAAACGTGGTTTGAACCTTTTTTTTTTTTTGGATCACCAAATCCTAATATATATATATGGCATGGGCCAACTTCGGTCCTCCATGTGTTTTGGACTTCAACTCCCACAATTCCAAACAGCCAGTAGGAAGTCCGAAATACCTGGAGGGCCAATAATATATTTTTAAATTATCTAATTATATAATTTTTCAGTGATTGGTTGGGGGGGACGTGTGCCAAAATTCTGTTTGCTTACCCCTGAAAATTACCTGGCGCCATCTCTGCTTCCCAACTCTCTCTCCATTCCCAGTAAGTGAAAAAGGCAAGTAGAGGAGGAGGGGGGAGAAAAGGGGGGAAAGAGTCAGGACTGGAAGCGGAAGTGTCCTTCCTTCTTCCTTCCCTCTGTGATTTCCACACTCCTCTTTCGCTTCCGGGAACTTCCTGCTGGGCCCCTCTAGCTCTGAAGTGTTGCCTTTCCTTAACTTTTTGAGTCCCTGTTGTTAGTATTCTAGGTGTCTAGCACCACATCAGATGGGTAATAGTAGGAGACTGTGGCCAGGGGAGCTTTTGCACAGTTAAAACTGGTGCGCCAGCTCCACCCGTACCTTGGGAAGTCTGACTTGGCCACGCTCTGGTTACATCCCGTATAGACTACTACAATGCTCTCTATGTGGGGTTGCCTTTGAAGATGGTCCGGAAGCTTCAACTAGTCCAACGAATGGCAGCCAGGTTGTTAACAGGAGTGGCACTCAGGGAGCATACAACCCCCTTGTTGCGCCAGCTCCACTGGCTGCCAGTTTGCTACTGGGCCCAGTTCAAAGTGCTGGCTTTGACCTATAAAGCCCTAAATGGTTCTGACCCAACTTACCTGTCCGAATGTGTCTCCCCTTATGAACCATTAAAGATTTTAAGATCATCTGGGGAGGTCCTGCTCTCGGCCCCGCCTTGGTCACAACCACGTTTGGCAGGGATGTTATGAACCCAAAGAGGTTCCTGTTCTTTGTGCAGAGTGTTCAAGGAATAGTAAGGTAGTTTAGATCAATGAGACACTTTAGAGACCAAATTTGGTTTTGACACTATTCATGTAACATTTATTGAAATACAAGCATCACAGAATCATATCAGAATCACATCAAGGAGAGCTCTCATGCGCACACACATTCATGCATACTCACGCACACACAGGCCTCCTCTGGCGAAGATGATCAGTCTTTTCCGAGGAGGTGCGGATGCTCTGTTGCCATGGATCAGGAAGCATGCATGCTCTTGGGGTCCCCTGCATTTATAGCCCAAAATCCATTTTTCTTTTTTTCTTCTTTTTAATAATCAGGTTGTTCTGTTCTTTTCAAGTCCATTCCAGTCCAGGACATCCTCAATCCAGGCCTCATGACTTATGGGGTACCTCCTGCACACTCCTTACTTGCTTGACCGCACACCTTATTGTTCATTGTCATTCAGTTATGCCTTGCTGCCTCCTCGCTTTGACTGCCAAGTTCATCCCATATCATGCCTTGCGAGAACTCCATGTTGGTTTTCTTTTTAGGCCTGTTTCTTCTCTTCTACATGCATTCAGACATTCATTCCTTACAAAAGAAAAGGAGAAAATGGAACTAGAACAAGAAAAATTACTACAAATGCAAATGGATTACCAATTAAGATTCAGGAATATACAAGAGGAAACAAAAGAAGAAATTATAACAACTAAATTACTTGCTGTGTGTTTGGAATCTGAAGAAGATTAATTGGAACAAGAAATTGACCAAATTTACAGGATCTCATCATTCTATGCTAGGAAAATAAGATGCCAAAGGATGTAATCGTACAATTCTGTAAGAAAAGAATAAGGGATGAAGTGTTACGAAAGAATGGTAAAAATCCCATCTACTACAAAGGCAATAAGATCCCCATCCCTAAAGAATTCCCACAAATGACTTTTATATAGAATAAAGAAGTACTACTTTCTTACTGAAGAACTAAAAAAAAGAGACATCAGATACAGATGGGAGAGACATGAAGGAATAATGGTAACATATAACGAGGAAATGTATTGGCTAACGAGTGGAGAGAAGGCCAGAACCTTTTATGAAAAAAATAATGCAAGGATCAGAACAAGGAGACAAACACGAATCTACCCCTAGAAAAGGAAATAAAATTAAAAGCAAGATATGACTCCCCTGAAGAATATAG